AGACTAACACTCAACATACTTCATGTGTCGGTTTCTTTTTTCTGTACTATCCATATTCCCTTTCACACCACTGAATACAGTTCACACCTTTAGATTTACATTTTCAATGGGTGTGAAATATGAAGTATTTAAAGAGTAATTGTTATTGACAACTTATATATTTTTTAATCAAATATTGAGTTCTTAAGGTCCACAGAATTACAGCCAAAAAGATTATTTAGGTGACAATAGGCATAAAAATATGGCAATAAACTGAATATCAGATATAATTTATGAGAAAATATGTGTGACAATTAAAGATAGTCGAAACTATAATAGCTTGTGAATGGCTTTAGATGGAAGATGAAACTGTAAGATTTCTTCAGTCAGGGGTAATGATGGTCAAGGTGAGAAAAGCGTCTGCCCGAAGTTTTGAACGACCTAAGCTTGGTTTCTTCAGGTGAATTACGACAGCTTCAGACATATATGAAAGACGAACTCTCTGTGATCAACTAGTGAAGTACACTGACAAGAATACCTTTCACTTTACTAATAAAATGAAAAATCTTAACACTACCGACAAAAATATGACATCCACTGCCTAAACATACAGCGAGTGTTCAGTTCCTATTCAAATAATGAAATATACGAACAGATAGATAGAATAGCCATAGGGTCTCCAATAGGTTCTCTATTAATGAACATATTTCTAGCGAAACTAGAAAATAATCCAATAAAGAGTGAAAGAACGAAAGAGGAACTATATTGTCGTTACATTAACGATACCTTGTAGTCTACGATAAATGTCTGTTTCTTGACTTAATCAACTTCAGTAGGCCATTCAAGTCAAGAAGGAGAACACAATGACTCTGCACATTCATAACGCTTTCCTGACATGAAGGGATGAATCCCTCAAAAGAACCATATTTATAAAACTATTAGCCAAAACTCAGTATACACATTGTGCCTATCCAATACAAATAAAATTTGATTAGATACCGATCATTTAGACTAAGGTCAGTTTCCTCCGAACACGAAGCAGAGATATTTCAAACTAAAGCGAATATCCGGAGAAGTTTATGAAAGCCAAAGTAGTTTACAGCATGCTAGGACAACAGTGGAGAGAAAGTAGTTATTTTCGTGTCTACAATGCAAGGGAGATACTAATACGGAGATTCTATCACGACGTTTTACTGTAGGGATATAGGAGACTTTCTACTGTGGAGATCTCTTCCTGTCCTTCAATGGCAGTTAAGTGTTCGCCCTGAAACTCAAAGACTTTTATCTAATCTTATCTTCTCCTCATGCATATACTATTTGAATTGTTCCTATGGCTGAAGTTAAACAGGGTGTACTAATATGAAGGTTGGTGTACAGATTCGAGAATATTTTTCAGTCAGGCTCAGAAAAAGTAGGATCAAATACATAAAAAAAGTCCAGTTCCTAAAACACTTGGTAGACAATGGGCATCCGATTAACGCCAACATAACTTACAGGGTCACATGCAACTTTTCAAAGTCATTACTATGCACAGTCCACTTACGTTTTCTGCATACATCTGAAGCTGTTGTAATAAAATCGATCAAACCAGAACTATGTATTCAGAAATAACATGATCAGATCTTGTTCCTACCATAGAGGAACTTTAACTTAAGCTTCTATTCCGCAACGGTTTCTTTTCCACTCGATTTTTTCCTCTCCTCTTCCTCGAAACAGATTTCTTACTACATGACTACACGTCATTCATCCGACTTATTAGTTATTTTATGATAAACTATTAACCTCATTCTCGTTACCTGCTGTTTAATGCATACAATCTCTGTGCTAACCACTCTGCAAAACTTTTAAAAACCATGGATTAAAAGTTAATTGGTGGGTGGTGACTAACATTGGAATCTAGGGTGCGCTTTTCGTCCTACTTAGAACTCGTCAGCTGGATGTACCTGCATTCCCTACTGAGTGATGATTTTCCCACAGAGGCACAAACTGGGTGCCCATAGTTTCAAACGTCAAAGCGCTATTGATTCGACTACTTGGGCCACGAGAGCTACCACTTGTACAACGGGCCATCTTAGTTATTTAATTCAATTTTTAGATTTTCCCATCGATTGATTGGACTGAAGTTCACGGTCTCAGCTTGACATGTCGGCTTCTTGTGCAGATGCTTCGACGCAATACGCGTCCTGGATTCCACTGCTAGTCACCATCCACTAATTAACTTTTAATTACATGTCCAGACATCGTCGAAGCATCTGCACAAGAAGTTGACATGTCAGTGTGAGACCGAGCACTTCGGTCCAATCAATCGACGAGAAAATTTAAAAATAGAATTAAACCAGGAATTAACCTGTCAATTCTTTTACCCCACATTGTATGATTCTATATCAATTAATGATCATCTTTATCTACATAACACTACTTTGTATTTACATTCAGCTCATCACGTTTTCCATATAAATACCACTTATCATTTGTTTTTAGACTGACTTGCACTTCCCGCTAACTGATTATACTGAACCGAAATGCTTGGTCTCAGTCCACATGTTGTCTCTTAATGAGAATCATTTGATGACGTCTAAGGATTAACTTGATGTTATTTAGGATGAATAATACCTGACAGCTATTGCGCAAAGGGTAGATGTTGAGACCCAGCTAACCTATCGGATAATGCTTTGGAGGTTGAAACGGTGGATGCAGAGTTCAAGTCCCAGTGTCACCTAACACCACCACTCACTGAGAATGCAGACAAATCCAGTTGATGGGTCCCATTTAAGGTGAAAAGAGCATCCTGGATTCTATTGCTAGTCATCATCAGCCAAAATAGCAAATATTATTTATTTCGTCACCCTACACCTGCATACTGGTGTATCTAGCGCACAAGTGATTACTACTTTAGTGATAAACTACATCACTTATCTATTTAACCTCATTTTGTCTTGTGTTTCTATTGACTATACGTTTCATACGCACTCAAACGATAGTCGAAACCGACGGACTAATGGGTCGCCTTGTACGTACCATTTTTATTTAGGCTCTAATTATTCGCTGGCTTGATCTGTAGTATTATGTAACTCCTAATTTTATAAGATTTTGACCTAATATAATCAATGAAACGTTTATATTATCATATCGTCTTTATTATTCTTATCGTCACCTACATCGACTACTTGAACTTTTGTTATTATTGACATGGTTACTGTTACCATTGTTTTTATTACTGTCGTCATTGTGATTTATTTCTGTTATCTGTTCAAAAATACATTATCAGATATACGCCCGTAATTATTATTATTATTTCCTTTTATTCCTAGAGGAACGAACAAAAGGCTTCAGCCGCGCGCTTCCTTTGCGTTCGGTTTTCTGCCAACGTTTTCACCCCTCTCCAAGTCTGCCCACAGGCTTTCATCTGCCAGCTTGTTGCTTTTCACTTGTATATCTTCCAGTTTGTGGGAAATTAGACATATATCATCGGAGAAATCTATATCCTCCAAGTTTTTTGTGTGGGTCCATTGTATGCCTGTTTCCTCATTGCCCGTTGTCTGTCGCATTATCCAATCTACTGCAATCAGAAAAATCATTGGCGATAGTAGACAGCCCTGCCTCACTCCCGTCCTCACTTCGAAGGCTTCCGTAAGTTTCCCGTTGTGGATTACTTGGCATGCAGCATTGTCGTATAACTGTTTGATGAGATGTATAATTGTCGATGGCACCCCATAGTAACGAAGTAGTTTCCAAATCACCTCTCGATCGACGCTGTCTGCTGAGGGCATTTTCAAAGTCAATGAATTCAAGCATTTGGTTTCCTTGATAGATTTCGATAAAGAAAGGAAGATGAAAAAATTCTTCGTCTTCCTTTCTTTATCGAAAGTCAATGAAGTTGAGCTAGAGAGGTGATTGCCATTCCAAGCTTTGTTCAATGATGATCCGTAGAGTGGCGATTTGGTCAATGCATGATTTGTTCCCCCTGAATCCGGCCTGTTCCGGTCGACGTTTTTCATCTAGGGCTTGTTCGATTCTATCCAGGATGATGCAGCCTAGCATTTTGCTTGGGATGGACAAGAGCATAATTCCGCGCCAGTTTTTGCGTTGACTTAAGTCTCCTTTCTTTAGTAGTTTGAATAAGTATCCTTTCTTCCAATCTTCAGGTACTTTGCCCTCTTTCCACACCTTCTCCAGCAGTGGTGTCATCAAGTCCCCTGTTGTCTCTGGGTCCATTTTCAATGCTTCTGCTGGGATTCTATCTGGTCCTGCTGCTTTTCCAGCTTTTAGCATCTTGATTGCATTCAGGACTTCTGATTTCGTCGAGGGGTCCATGTTCACTGGTAGTTCTGCTTCCGTTGTTGGTATTGTTGGGCGAATTGTAGGCGGCGGCCGATTCAGAAGTCTTTTGAAGTGTTGAGCCCGGTGTTTTCTTTGCTCCACTTCTTTGGTGATTGACTTTCAATTGTCATACTTGACTGGCCTAATCTGTGTCGAACTTTTGCCCGATAGGTTCCTAGTTGTTTGGTAGAGTGTGGCGAGGTCTCCTTTGCCTGCAGCTTGTTCCGTTTCACTTCCCATGGCTTCATGATATTTTCTTTTTTGTTCCCTGGCACTCTTCTTTACTCTTTTGTTCAGCGTATAGTAGCTTGCATTCAGCTCCTGTCTTTGTTGCTTGTCGGTGCACTGGATAATCTTTTGTTTCCACGCCCATAATGCACAATGGTAAATATCACCCTATTTTGTAAAATATATATTGTTTTTGTATCAGTTGACCAATTCATCTGTCGACAAATGTGAAACTGTAAGTCAATAGGAAAAGTCTTACGAGGACAGAAACAGTGTATACTAACATCGAATTAGATATCCTTCATTATGGGTGAATAAGAAAGGTTTCATCATTATTATCTCTTAACCAATTAATCCAGGAACATCGTTTGTAGTTAAAGTTGTATTACAACGTATTTTACACGCAGAATGTTCTCATTATATCCAAAATGAAAAAAACAACATATTTCCAATGGTTTTTTTCTCTTCTAAAGGCTCGTAAATCTGGTCGAGTAAAGAGAAAACGCATTCAGTATTACGACAGAACTGGTGTTTCAATTCCCAATCTTTCCATTTGTCCTGTTAATGAATGTGATATTGTCTATGGCGCTAGTGACATGCAGAAAGCAGACTTGGTTGTTTTTGAGAGTGGACATTCATACTTTGCATCACCCAAGCCAGCAAATCAAACCTGGATCCTTTATCATCTCGAATCACCGGCGAATTTTGATTTTGAGGGATTCAAAGACAAGGTGAACGATAATTTTTATTTTCCTTTTTTTCACATAGAAACCTTTTCATTTAAGTTTTCTATGACTGGCGTGAATTTATTTAAATGAGTTATTTCTACAAAATCATCAATTGTAATAAAAGGCAAGTTATTTAAGTGCGTATGTTTTTTATTCCTTTACGTTCCCAGTGGAGCATAGAGCTAGAGGCTTAACGTTTCTGTAGCAGTGGTGATTATTTTCTCAGGATGAGGTTGCTAGCCTCATGCCCAAGCTTCTCTCTTTATCAGTCTTACTAATAATAATGATAATGATAATAGCTTTATTCCAAAACAGTGCTTGCGATACAGAATGGAATTCTCAGCATTTTACTACATTATTGCATCCAGTTAGTAAATTAACAATGAAATAAAATTCTGCGTAGATTAAGGGTAATCTCAGTTAGTTTTGACAACAACATATTAGCATGTCGGTAGCAAAGCCAAAATTAAACAGAGTGTTTGAAGGTGCTAAAAAAGTAGGTCCTAGCATATTTTCTGGCGTAAGCAGAAGAAAGAAACAAAGCTGCACACAACAGAAAAAAGAGAGAAAGAAAAGGAAAAGAAAAAACAGAACGTTGTACCTATAAATGATATGAGTTGGAAAGACGAGATACAGTTGTTCTACTGACTACTTAATAAGTTAAAGGTTTCACGTCTAGTGCTTTCTTTATCGCACAGAACATGAGCTAAGTAGGGTATGGTTGAGTTTTTGTACTTACTAGCGCGAGCATATAGTTCTCTATATAGGCTTCTGGTTTAGCCTGATGAAATACAAGGGGAGAGTTGTGAATGAAGAGGGTGGTGTGAGTTAGATAAAATGGATTGAGCCCATTTTTCACATGAGTCCAAGTGCCTGTCAACCAGAATATTAACCAGCTGGTTAAATGGCACGTAGCTTACCCTGCTGACAACCTTTAACATCCTGCGTTATAAGGTATACTCTTTCTTCAGTAGGCCAGGAAGAACTAAGGGGGAACAATAGAGAATAGGCAGAATGCGGGAGTTAACGAATTGCAGGAGTAAGGGTTGGGTTATACCAGAATGTCTTAACTTCTTGGTGTAGAAGGTAAGACGGAATATTTTCTTAAAAATCATCAAGATATGAGACGACCAGGAACGATCAGCAGATAGTGAGGTAAAGGAGTGCGTCCAGTAGCCGGGGATCGAACCCCGGACCACCTGCGTTGTTGGCCAGCACTCTACCGCTGTACCACATCTAAGTGTGTATAGTTCAATTTAAAAACTTTTTCATGAATAATCATGTAGAATTTTGTTTTGTATCCTGAGTCATTTAGACTTACCACAGGACAAAATAAACATAGATCAACTAGCAGATAGAAAAATAGCCACCAAATTTAAACCAAATATAAAACATTGCATCTGCACTCAAAACCTTTCACAGGTAAAAATCTCACGTCTAATTATAGCAAAGTAGATAAAAATCTTAAAAAATGTAGTATGTTGCCGTGCACATTTTAAGACACCTATTTAATTGTCTCAAAGTTCTAACAGGTTAGGCTTGATTCAAACTTCACAGAATCTCAAAACTCTCCTGTTTGTATGTCATTTGGAGACTAGAGCGACTTAGGACTTAAAAAGTTTTGCACAATTTGATTTTGGAGTGATTTAATTAAATAAACAAGAACCTGTGATCTAATTAAAACGAGTGTAGGCTCCTTTCTGAAAATACATTTATGCGGACTACTTTGGAATAATCCTAGTAGAAATAGTTTTGTTCTTATAAATCTTAGAATTACTCGTAATAAGAATAAAACTGCTCTCTAGCAATACGTCTGATGGATATTTCAGTGTGTGTGTGTGTGTGTATGTGATTGCTTTTTTGAATTTGTAACACTAAGATATGCAACAAACCAACCAAGAGCCGATCGCTCAACAAATATGTAGGAGAAAATGGAGAAGAATTGGGCATTGTTCGAGTGGAATCCAAACGAGTGACGACGACTGGGTCGGTGGTACGAGGGTGACATGGACAAAATGGTGTGGTGAGGAGGGAGGAGATGAGAGATTATAGTCAGTCGTGGGGCTAGCTGGATGAAGAGGACGGTGGAAAGTAGAGATGTGTTGTTGAAGCCCTATGTTCCACTGGAAACCCAAGGAAATAAAAATAATAAAATTTGCCTCTAGGTGTATAAGAAAACCTTAACTTCGTTTTATTATTTTCAGGTAGTATTTAAGCAAGCAAAGATTAAATCAAATTTATTAGCATTTGCAGAACACAAAAATACTACTCCCTACTCAGTCTGATTTCCCACAAACAAGAAGATATACTGGCAGAAGAAACATCAAAGATTGGACTTCAGGTGAACATAGATAAAACAGAGGTGATGAAGATTCCTGGCCAACACCAACAGCAACAACAGACAACAATCAGCCAGCATAAATGGGAGGAACCTGAAAGAAACAACCTCCTTCACCTACCCACCCAACTGGGAAGCATCGTTTCAACTACAGGCGGACGGAACTGACGAGGATATCAAAGCCAGAATCGGAAAGCAATACAAGCTTTCATTACTCTCAAGTCTGTGTGGAGGTCAACAGCACTCACCATCAAAAATAAGATTCGGATTTTCAAATCCAATGTGAAGTCAGTCAGTGCTACTCATTACACGGATCAGAGACTTGGCGCGTCATAAATAGTATCTCAAACAAACTACAGACCTTCATCGACAGCTGGGTGCGAACCAACCAGGAACCAACTGTGCAACAAAAAGGGGGGAAGAAATGGAAATGGATTGGCCATAGTCTGAGGAAACCATCAAGTGACATCACTAGACAATCTATTGCTCGAGTAGAACCCGAAAGGGAAGCAGCGAGTTGGTCGTCAGTGCAAGGGTGACATGGAGGAGGTCATGTGAATAGGAGATGAAAGTATGCGGGCAGACTTGGAGCGGGGTGAAAAAGTTGTCAGAAAACCGAAGGCAATGGAGACTTGCAGCTGAAACCCTATGTTCCTCTAGGAATTAAAGGATATAATAATAATAATATTCAAACATTTTGCCAATGACAATTAACATTACCAGAACTAAATTAGTGAAGCATGATTATTCACCTGCAGACATTGTAACAAGGTGTCAATATTTTCTGAAACATCTTACCTGTCCACATATAGACGTAAATACTTTTTCTGCTAACCAGTTATACTGTTAATCTTCACAGTATTTATTGAGGTATGTATTCCTACTACGGCATCTTAACTAGTCAATCATATACACTATCCCTGTTTGCTTGTATGGACTAATTAGTTAAAGATTTTAAACCATAAGAGTAGTCAATATTCTAAATCTTATAATAATAATAGTCATTTATTTTCTAGTACTGATTGATTTTTTCATACTTGACTGCATTTCAGATTAATTTCACTGCTACATACTCTATGGATTCAACTTTAGTTACACCTTATTATAAATACATATCATATAAAGACGTTGAACGCAAGGATTTCAACAACAGTACTCAATTAATCAAAGATTATTCAATAGGAAAAACTAAAATGGTTGCCTGGTTTGTAAGCAATTGCGTTTCAAACAGCCCACGACTTGAATATGCCAAAACACTGAAAAAATATATCCAGGTATAAAAGTTTTTTTCTTATTAGTTTGGCTGCTAATTTTTTTTCTTCATGTTACCAGTGGAACATAGGGCTTCAAGCTGGTGGCTTGAAGTCTCTTTAGCAGTGTTTATTTTTACAGGATGAGGTTGCTAGCCTCATGCCCAGCCTTTCCTCCTTACCAGCTTATATTTCTGGCTTAGAGATGTGTGAATGAGTGCGTCCTTTGGCCAGGGACAGAACTCCGAACTATGTGCATGGTCGGCGCGCGTCTCAACCGTTGTGCCACCGACGCGCACAGAGCAGCTGCTGATTACATTGATTAATTCGTTAAATTAATTAAAGTTAACATGACCAGTTAAAAACATGTACTATATAGGAGTGAATATAAATTAAACTTGATAATTCCTCAACACAATAAGTAATTAATATCAAGTTAGATCAAGAAATGAATTTAGTCACAGAATCATTGAAAAACAGGAAGTACCAGGCAGGTGTTTCATTCTAGTTTTGGGCTATTTTTTGGTACACATCCATCAGCACATGGGAGATCGAACCACGATCTTCAGATTATTAGGTGAGCTACTGAAAAGGAATCTAATCCCAAGGGTTCCCTAAATTTTTTTGAGGTCGTTTCGTGACGTAACTTGAAAACAATCGAATCCCTGCAACCCAATACTTGAAAATTAATCTAATACTTACTAAAAGTTTACTACAGAATGAAATTGTGTGGGTCTCCAGTGAGCATTCGTAACCAGTGGGGTTTATCAAGTTGGGAGTGAGAACAAATACATGCAGCTAGTTGGCGGTGGAGCCATGTATCGCAAATTCATCCACCGGTCATTCACTCCTGTCCCAATGGTTGAATGGCCAACTGGCTGGCATCTTAACCTAAAACTCCTAGGTTCGATCCCCCACCAGTGGTGTCGTCGGTGCCTACTCTCAAACTAGGATGAAGCATCTATCCAGCACTGCCTAGGTTCCAATCATCGTTTACTGTTACATATTTATCATCATAGTTCTCTACCCCGAATAAGAAATATTGTGGACCATTTCTTTTTGTTACACAAGTCAATAAATGATATGAGAAGTCGTGACCAGTAGTGTGTAGCAGCTCGAGTGTGAGGACAAATACTCGCCGAAGACATTGGCTAGGGGTCACGCTATGTCGTGAATTGACAGAAGTTAGAATTCATGGACTGGGCATTGGAACGGGTACCAGTGGCTTAATGTTCCACAAGTTCGCCTTGTAACCAAAAGGTCCTGGATTCGAATCCCGGTAGGTGCGTACTGATGAAGAGTCCCAAACTAGGACGAAACAGCTGTCCAGTACTCCCAGCTGGTTTTCCAATGGTTGTCTAACCAATGTCAGCCCATGATGAAATCCTGTAACCAATCAAATCCCTACAAACTAACACTTGAATATCAATAAATGATGTGTCTGAAAAAGCTATTCAGATTTAGTTCCACCACTTGATGTTAAAACCGCCCATTCATCATATCACTAATGTCATGTCTGGTCTAATAAACTTATCCAACTTAAACTTTTCCTTAGCAATCAATAACTCGAAATTGATAATGAAAAGTCATACAATATTATTTTTAATTTTTCTTTAATGCATTTTTCAATGCTAATTAATCAGATATGTGTAAAATTTCTTGTTGCATTATCAAAAATAGGTTGATATTTATGGTGCATGCGGCACACTGGTCTGTGAACGAAGAAATGAAGAATGTTTCAAACTGCTCAAAAATGACTACAAATTCTATTTAAGCTTTGAAAACAGTATATGCCAAGATTATATTACTGAGAAACTATTTTTGAATGGCTTAAAGTAAGTAGTACTTGAATATAAACTAACTTGAAATTATGTTCACCACTCATTCTCATTTTAAAGAGAAGAGTGAATCTTTTAGAATGTATGACAATCTTTCATATTTCACAGCTTTGTACTAGTGAATTTAGTAGACCTTTAAACTGTTACAAACTGTATCTTAAAATGATTGCACTAACTTGATGCATAATGCAATCATAGCAACTGCATACATTTGGAGAATAAAGATACTAGCTGTTTTGTGCGGTGCGGTGCGGTGGGTTGAGATTTAATCAAAATGAATGAAACCACTTTCTTATCACCGTAAGTCAACACCAGCTAAAAGACACTTTAGGAAATCTTGGATGATGAGTTTGAGACCCGATTACTAGTTCCGTGAGTTCAACTATGAGGCTTTTGAGAGTTTTACTATTTTCAAACTAGCCTGTTTTACAAACAGATATAAGCACAGGATCAAATTAAAAATTATCCAGCCTTTGACGCTTATTTTTCCGTTTGGTTTGAGGATTTCATTTTTAGATGACATCGCTTAAAGAACCATTCAAAAACCTGCAGGGAGTACCGGACGGCTGTTTCGTCAACCTAGTTTGGGACTCTTCATCATAACGCACCCACCGTCAGGGTTCGAACTGAGAACCTTCCAGTTACAAGGCGAACTCGTAGACCATTCAGTCACTGGGATCTGATTCGGTGGCGTATAAGTTCCAACTTCTAATAATTCATGATTCTAGTAAAACCTCCAGGCAATATCATTGGCGGTCCTGGGTTCAAATCCCAACGGGTACATACCGCCTATGAGCCCAAAACTATGATGAAACAACCGTTCAATACTCAACGGTTCTCGAACTGATATCAATCCGTGATCGAACTCTTGAACATTTGTAATCGTGAAAAAACTCAATCTTTATAAAGCGATCACACATTTTGGAAGATTTTTAGTGTTTGCTGCTGTGATGAATTGTATATTATGACTAATATGACTAAAATTACTTTTGTTTCGCTGACGCCGTATAAAATTACCTGGAAGAAAAAGTTTGGTTTTAATTCATTGGATAACTTAGAATTCAACTATTCGGTTTATGGGTACGCCTAATGTTGAGATAACAGTCATTATGTCACTGGACAATGGATATGCGTCTTCCTAATAGTTTGAGAAACAAGAGGAGACCAAAACGCAACACCATTTTTCAGATAAAAGGTCAAACTGGAGAAATCAAACTGAAATAAAGCTGTCCGAAATTTTTAGTTTAAAAATTAAGGTTTTTCGAAACCCTCTGATATGAAGACTACACAGAGAAGATTAGCGTCTCATACAAAACCATGCTCCGAAGTAAGAAACTAGTAACTATTTCAATGAGAAAAAAAGCCTACTACAAATAATTCTCAAATTATGTCTATAATGAAATAGATGTTAATTTGTGGAAGGTGACTAGCAGTAAAATTCAGGATGCACATTTCGTCCTGTTTGTGACTCGTCATCTGGATTTACTTGCATCCTTAAGTGAGTGATGATGTTCCCACCGAGGCTGAAACCCAGTATCCATAGAGTCAAACGCCAAAGCGTTATCCACTAGACCCCTTAGGCCAAGAGGTACATCCAGCTTACTAGTCCCAAATAGGACGAAATACACATCCTGGATTCCACTGTTAGTCACCATTCACACAAAGAACTTCTAATTACACGACCAGACCTCGTCGAAGCATCTGCACAAGGAGCCGACATGTCAACGTGAGACCGAGCACTTCGGTTCAATCAATCGACGGAAAAATCTAAAGTTAAATTAAATAGATATGTTTAGAAATGTCAGAACATGACAAAATACCCCAAATAACAAGGAACTTTTCTCTCTCTCTCTCTTTCTGTCTGAACTTTACTGACAGCAATCGGGATTTTGAGCACGGTTTTCTTTTTGTTCTATCCTTGAATGAAGCCTCAAATAATTTGCTCTTCCAATATTTCATTTGGTTTCTTCAAAGTTTTAAGCACGCTCATTATCAGTGTAATTCGATAAATGTTTCAAAAGATTAAAAGTTTATAGGGAAGCGAAACTCCCAACAAATTCAGTGACGTATCTAATATTCAAAATAAAAACCTCTTTGAACCCATCATAAGTATAACTAACACCATCCACCTTTCATTTTGTTACATTCTGAAATTTATTTTTAAAAATTTTGATTATAGCTTGATTTCACACAATATTTTGGTACAAGTATGGAATTTTCAGCGTATGATATCGATAGCCCAAATTTATCAGGCCGACCATAAATATCAGGTGTGCATTGGCTGGGAATCAAACTCCAGACCATGTTCATTGTCTTTGATCATGAGTGCCTGCGTTCTATCTCCTGTGTGAAATGGTATAATAGGGTAAGCAATATTGAGGTGAGGCACCAGTCGAATGCTAGGTGAGGTGACATCGACTGAGGTGGTTAGGACAGGTGTGACGCATGCCTAGCCATCACCTTCCTTGATGGGTAATGTTAGCTGATATAGGGTCAGGTTAGAAAAGAGCCGGTGGTGGTCAAACCAAAACATGACCTCATCAGTCAATGAAATAAATCCGCAACAGTTAGTTTTAGCCACGTAGGAAGGTGTAGACTTCCAGGTTGGGTTCCTCGGGACGGTAAACACCAATGGCTGGAAACAGTTGGTGATATGGCTCAAAATCGTGCTCAATGGCCGGCGCAGATGCATCCACTCCTTGTGACTTATAATTTCCAATAAAATTAGATTATTCATCGACATTACTATTTGCCTCATATCTCTGTTTACTGTCTCTACTCTGCTGAGTGAAGTGTGGCGACTTGAACTGCTGCACATCGGTGCAAAGTTCTATGTTGAAACCAGCCAACCAACCAGCCAGCATGGTCGGTGAGCGTCCTGATGGCTGCGCCAGGGACGCAGTACGACAGTACCCAGAAGAATTATACTACGCACATTATTACTTATATAATAGATGTGAATAGTGTTTGTCAGTTAACACCATTAAAATGATAATGTTTTAATTATATTTTAGAAATACAATTGTCCCAATTGTAATGGGTGCCTCAAAAGCAGAATATATGCGATCCGCTCCATCGAATTCATTTATTCATGTGGATGATTTTAGTTCAGCTAAACAATTAGCCGATTATCTACACTATCTTGATAAAAATACCACAGCTTATAATGAATACTTTCAATGGTTAAAATATGGAACACTTGATTTTAACACATTCACTGACTGTCGTCTATGTATGTTGGCGCATGAAGTTGAAAACCTGAAAGATGGTCATTGGTATACAAATATGGGTGAATGGAGGAATAATCAGTGCAGAAATCGTGTACAGCCAAATATTTAACAGAATAAAGTATGAATGACTGATTGAATGACTGTTTGATGCTAAATTTTTTTTATCATGTCTATTTTAGATTCTTATTTTATTTTAAGAAAAGAAACTGTTTTGTATGTAGATTTACTCATAAGTGTCGATATTTTACATTTTTGAATATCAAATTATGAATACTGAGGGAAGGATTCATCAATTCGCATATTATTACTTTAAGTTCTTCCAGACTATCCTCTGTGATGTTTTACCTTTGGTATATTTTGTATAAGATACATGCAGTTTTTTAAAAATATTTTAATCTTGGTTTTTAACTGTTTCATTTTCTGAAGCTGAAGGAAAATAAAAAGAGAATTGATTTCAATATTGGTTCGTTTTTCTTTGTACTTGTTTTTATAGCAGTTCTTATTGTGTTCTCCTTAAGGATACGATTCTATGTGAAACATAAATCGTTTCAGTCAAACTCACAGTCAAAAACTAATTTGTAATAACTACCTGTTTATGAAGGTTAGGTAGGATGTTAGTGAATATAATCTAGATTGCATGTTTCCTTTAAATTGCTGTCTGAGTAACTGCTTTGTACTGTAGGTTGCCGTATACGCTTATATCAAGTATCTTCCCTGGTCTTTGTCGGTAAAACTAGAAAATTCTTACAATCTTAGGTGAATGTCGCAAGCGTCGGTAGCATAGAGGTTAGGATGCTTGCCAACCATGCGCATAGTCCGGAGTTCGAACTCCGGCCACTGGACGCACTCCTTTACCTGGCTGAGCCATAAATAAAGGTGGTAAAGAGGAAAGGTTGGGCATGAGGCTAGCAACCCCATCCTATAAAAATAAACACTGCTACAGAAACTTCAAGCCACTAGCTCGAAGCCCTATGTTCCACTGGGAACGTGAAGGAATTAATAATAATGTATGAATGTCGGAGCTTATCTAGCACAAATCATGAAGCTTGTGAACTCAACAGCCTTACAGACGTGTATATAATACCAATCTAAAGTCTACCGGCATCATCAAGTATTAATTCTTTAATTTGCATCTTGTATTCATCAACTGGATTTCCCGCAGTTAGTGGTGACTGAAACAAATTTAATGAGAGTCATTCTCAGAAAAAAGTTAAACTAATGCTGAATTCCAGCGAGACAGCTATTCCGTTATGTTTCTGAATAATTATTTTACATATGTATACTCACTAATGAAGTATTCTGAGAACAGAATTTCAATATTTTGAGGCATTCTTATGAAGCGAAAGGATTGAGCGAAGAAGAAATATTTACTTTTCAATTAGATCCTCATCTCTGGCTCTACTCTAAAATATATGGCATACTTATTACAGTACACAACAATTTATCAATCAAGTGGCGATATGCTTGTTAGTCAGGTCCAACATGTCACAGGGCTTGATAATAACCAAGATAGATAATCAAGATAATTAAAGGGTAGAAATGACTACATCAATGATAACGTGTAATTAAAGATGGAGTAGTTAGAAAAATAATTTGAACAATTATGATTTCAGATGTTCGGGGGGTGAAGTATTCCGGTTTATACATTGATGTAACAATGACCAAGGTAAGGAAAATGGCTGTGCAAATTTCTTCTGAACACACAGGTTTCCTATAGCTCCTTCAGATGGATTCCTATGGCTTCAGTTGTATGTAGAAGAAGAACTTGTAAAGCAAAGTTAAGATTAGTTAGAGTGCAATAAATAATTTTAAATGCCGTATTAACATTAACTTTATGCTCATTATGTACAAGATGTACTAAAAAATAGCTACGAATAGATCTTGTTTGTCTCTTGTATAACCATCTTGAACAATGTTGGAAAATACAATAATGAACCTGCCTAAGTGTATGCCCGATGTAGCTGGCTTTGCAGCTGCAGTCAAACTGGTAGATACACATAGAGAAGGCAAATTTAGATAATTTATCGTTATTTCTTGAACGTAGAACAGGGGTAGTAGTGAAGAGACAACGTGCCTTTGCTTGCATTATAAGCTCTTTTAACTGCATTCCTCAGGCGCTGTGTTACTATTTCGTTGGTGTTGTCACCGAGTAACTGTAGTTTTATGAACAATAGTTTTTTCGGAGCCGTTGTCATACTGACTCTCCTAGGTGCTGAATTCATTATTTTTCTCAATGAAACTTTTGAAGATATCGTCCACCTTAAGATTAATTTAAAAGAATGTTTAATTTAACAAAAGTAATGAAGAAATATATATATATATAAGAAATGTACTTCATTCACAGTGTAAATGTGCATTAACTTTTAGCGCTTGATATTTGCATCAGTACCTTTTTTCTACCAGTAATTGTTATTCTTTGAATAACGGACTGTACAATGACCTGCGAACAGAGAATCACCTTAAAGTAACACCGTTTCGTATTTGTTAGCCTACTGATGTACATTATGTATATGTAACTAGAAAAATCGACTTACTATCACCTGAACGCATGAAACAGATCTTTACATTCTACTGTATAGCTGACTGAAACTTCCTTGAGTTATTCATGACTACAGCATGCTCTAATGACAGTCAGTACCGGTTAGGACGGGAGTACCGCCCAGTTGTTTCCTCCTAGTTTGGGACTCTTCGTCATTAAGTACCCACCAGGAGGTCCCGGATCCTAACACCGGTGGGTGCGGGCTGATGAAGAGTCCCAGGCTTTCCAACGGTTCCCTGACCAGTGTCAGCTCATAATGAAATCCTGTAACCAGTCAAATCCCTGCAAAGCAACACTTGAAAACAACAGTTATTTGCAATGAAATCGGCATTACTATCGAACAATCGTGATATATTTGCACTCAAAATTGCCTCAATGATGTCATTAGATATGTGTGCAGATCCAGTAGTTTCTCAGTCACCAAAAAAACTAAAAAATTATCTAAACTAACCAGACATAAGGATACCTGAGAATCAAGAAGAATATTCCCAGCAAGGTGGGATGAAAGCTCTGTCAACAATAGTCACGTGCCCAACAATTCCTGTAGATACTCCAAGCTCAGAATGACCTTGGCTTGCTCAGAGAAAATTGCAAGCGCAAAAAAGGCACATTATCATTCCCATTTACTGAAGAATTAAGACCAGTAGTAGGGATTAAATGGAGGATTTCATCATGAGCTGACATAGGTTAGAGAACCACTGGAAAACCTGAGAGTGCTAAACAGCCGTTCCATCAATGGCTCAATGGTATACGAGCTCGCTGGCATTGTAACCAGAAGGTCCTGAGTTCGAACCCTGGCGGTGGGTGCGTACTGATGAAGAGTCCCAAACTAGACCGACGAAACAGCTGTCCAGCACTTTTAGCTGGTTTTCCAATGGTTTTCTAACTGATGTCAGCCCATGACGAAATCCTCCATCCGATCAAACTAAATCCCTACGAAACCAATACTTGCAAGTAGGGATTAAGTCCACCAAAGATACTCAAACCTTAGGGGATTAATATACAGCCTAGAAGAAAGAAGGAAAACAATCACATAATTAGTTAAAACACCTAAGTAAGTATCAATATTGTACTCAGATCGTTCAGGAAAGATTTTCTAAATAGTTATTCCGTTATAATATATTAGGAATAAATTCCATTCATCAAAAACCTTATTATTTTTACAATGAAGTGCATTTTATTGAGACAAATCGACAATATCTGTTAAGATGAAAGACATTTGTTCTTGGTAGACAAATTTACGAGTCAAAGATTTCTTTTTTGACCATTTAAAATATTCACAAACTTATAGGTTGCTGAATTATTGGTGTCTTAGAGGATCTAAAACAATTTGTTTCTTCTTGAGTCAACTTTCTCAGATATTAGGCGTTATAAACACGAAATACTGTTATAATAGTTTTATTTTTCGGATGAATTAATTTAAATGTCATTCATACTCAATGGGATAATATTGAATATCACTGACTTTTTTAGATTCACTTAGGTAAATCAAATGATGAGCTCATTCGGTTTGTTACCATCTAAATCATACCCTTGTGAAGGTCAATCATAAGAAATAGCTAAGTTTGTCTTGACTGCAAAACCATAAATTTGTATCGGATAATTAGGATATATTTCTGTAGAATGTGAAGTTCGCAAATGATTATTGAAAGCACAAGTCATTATTATTAATATTATTTATTTCCTGTGATTCCTAAAGGAACATAGGGCTTCATCTGCACGTCTCCATTGCGTTCGGTTCTCCACCAACATTTTCACTTGGCTCCACATCTGCCCACATTCTTTCATCTCCTCTTCGCAGTACGTCTTGCATGTCACCATCGCATTGACGACCAACTCGTCGCTTCCCATTCAGGTTCTACTCAAGTGCGGAACCTGGCCTGGCGTGTGATGTCACTTGATGGTTTGTTTTCTCAGAGTATGGCCAATCCACCTCCATTTCCTCCTGCACAATCGGTTTCTGGTTGGTTCGCTCCCACAGATCCCTGTTGCTCATTTTTTGGCCATCTGATATTGAGTCGTACTGAGCAAAGGCAGCTGTTAGTGAAAATCTGTAGTCTGTTCGAAGTGCACCGCGTGACACGGCGCCAAATCTCTGATCCCTATAGTAAGTATCACTGACTTCACATTGGAGTTGGAAATTCGGATCTTATTTTTCATGCTAAGTACTGCTGATCTCCACACAGACTTGAGAGAAATGAAAGCTTTCCTTGCTTTCCCGATCTTCGCTTTGTTGTTCTCTAAAGCACAAGTTTACAATGTCACTTAAACTGTAGATAGTAAAAGGTTGATTGAAAACCTGAAAGCTTTAAGTTTGTATTCACTCTAACAAAATTCAGCTGGACAGATAGCTTATTTTCAGAAAGACACTTCAGTTTTCACGTATATCTATAGATGAAATACATTTATTTGGATTTGTATATTCCATTATGACATGCTTATCGTTCGCCACGTGAGCAACTTTACAACTGTATTGCTCATAAAATACTTCTGAGTAAACAATAATTAAACCAGATAAACAAAGTTCCCCTTATTTATGCAGTATATTTTTAGAGAATAGATGAATCATTTTCGATCATATCGTTTGACTTATTATGGTTCTCACTGAGATTTTGCATATTAATATCTAAATGCTGTATTACACACTACGCTTTTACTGTAATGCCGAATAGATGGATAGATAACTTTGTCTGTCTTGAGATTCTTCTGTGCACTATGCTAGAATATAACTCCATGTAAGACAAGTTTATTTGACATGAAACGCGATGATATAGAAATAATAATCATTATAATAAAGCCGAGATTTTTCTTAACGTTTCGCCGTGTAAGCCACAGCTGCTTCAGCAGATTTATTCGGATTATTGTTAATCATAATCATACATAATCATCATTTGAATGATTAATAATAATCTGAATAA